CTTCATACACGTGCATTATGATTTCAGCTTATAAAACACGCCTAATCTTACAGTAGCACATTTCTTAAAAACTATAAAATAGATTGCTCCCCAAATTAAGACCTTGTTGCTTAATCAGTGCTAATACAGTAAGTACCCGTATGGTATTTTTACTTCTGAAAGCAGGTGGGAATGATGCCCAGGGTGTGGACTGTAAGCAACGGAAATTTTTTTTTTTAGGAATTATTTTTTTCCTGCTGGTAAGTATTCAGTAGTCTCTTTCCCATCACCTCCCCCTTAAATTTCAAGAAAATTCTGAAAGTTCCTTTTTTTTTTTTTTTTTTAAATGAAAACTGATTTAATTTTTTTTTTTTTGCCAGTAACCACATTCCGCTTCGAGGAGGGTTGCTCAAAATGCAGACTGAATGCTGCAGTGGAAAACCCGAGTGCGGCCTGGAAACAAGGCTGCTGCTGAATTTCGGTGCCGGCAAAGGTGACATCTCTGGGTTTAAACTGATTCCTTTGCACATCAAAGGGTGGGAGCTGCAGGCAGGCCATGGGAGGAACCGTCGAGTTGTGATGGTTGGAAGAAGTCTGATTTATTGAATTGCTTGAGTGGAAAAATTTATTTTGAAACTTGAAATGAATCATCACAAACTCCATCAGGAAAGGAGGGCTTTGTAAAGGCTATCCAAAACCATGCAAAAATAAGCAAAGTTCTTGGAAGCTTTCTAAGGAATGAACAACGTACCCACACCTTCTCAAACGTATTTCTCCCCAGCAATTATGTGCCCAAGTGAACAGCACCGACATGTACCTAAGACTCTCCATGGACAGTGAAGAGAGAACCTCTGGTAATTTCCACCTTTGTGACATCACCCACAATGAAATGAAGCCATGCTAGGGACCTTGGCCCTGAGTCAAGCAAAACTCCTTTAGGCTCTGGGTTTGGGCAAGTGTCTGAGGGACAGCTTCAGGCAGAATCTGGGGGTAAAGAGAGGCCTGAAGGCGACCCTCTGTTAGATCAGGATTCCCCCATGCTTTGAGAGCACCCCAGGTTGTCTGAAATTGGTGCCATGCCCCCATGCTTCTTTGGGGGTGGGGTGAACACATCCTTCCAACGGCAATTCTAAGTGTAACAAGAACTCATGTATATTTAGGGCAGCAAATCAGCACACATAAACAAGAAATCCAATCAGTTGCCATATCCCAGTCTTCTCAAACTTGCAAGCCTTCTTGATTTCCAGCACGGACTGCCCCATCCCCCGCAATAACCCCGGCTCTCTTGCCAATCTTACGTGTGCAAACTCCACCACGTAACTCGGACTTTAAACCCTTCACTGAGGAAACACCCTCACCTGGCTTTTAGTGATCTTGTCGTCACCCAACTTCTTCGCCCCCTTTTCCAGCCACTGGCCCTCACCCTGCACCCCTCCGCACTATGCCATAGCTCTCTTGACAAGGGGTGCTGCTGCTGACCCCAGAGGGGACGCTGGGAGTGTGCGGACACATGTCTGGTTTACAGTTGTTCAAGGGCAGGAAAGAGGGAGTGGAGGGTGCCAATGGCATGTACTGTCCCGGCCGGGAGGCTCAGTGTCCGGAAAGGCTCACGAGATGCTGAGTAAAGTCCAGGGTCCAGGTCCCCCCACTGGAGAGACAGTGGGCCCCTAAACGAGATGGGTTTGAACTATGTGGGTTTAGTTACATGCGAATTTTTTTCAATAAATACTATAAATGTATCTTCTCTTCCTTATGATTTTTTAAATTCCATTCTTTTCTCTAGTTTATTATACGAATACAGTGCATAATACATATAACCTACAAAATAGGTGTTAATGGACTTTATGTTATCGCTCGGGCTTCTGGTCAATAGCAAGCTATTTGTAGGTAAGTTTTTGGGGGGGTCAAAAGTCATACATAGCTTTTCGACTGCCCAGGGAGGAGGGGTCAGCGTCCCTAAGCCATGCTGTTCAGGGGTCACCTGCACCGCTACTGGCCTCTGCAGGTCCCTTGGCAGCGCAGGGTCCGTGTGCCTGGTGGTCCTGCCAGGGATGCTTTCTCCCCAGCTTCCCCACTCCTCCCCTGCCCCACTTCATCAACCCTGCTCCTCATCTTTCAGGAACTTAAATATCATTTGCTTGGAGAATACTCTTCTTGACCCACTAGACTAGGCTGTGTTCCTGTATTATAAGCTCTACCTGCAGTCTGTAGACACAGCAAACTGGTACTAAAACAATTATTTACATAATTCCTGACCATCACTTTGACCTTATATAAGCCCCAGAGGGCAAGACAGGCCGTGTTTCTGTCCACCGCACTTAGAGCCTGGGACATCACAGACGTGCCAAGATTCTGCTGAATGAGCAGGTTCTCAGAACACGTTTCCTCCTCAGTACAAACATGCCCATCTCCTGGATTTAACCCTCCTTCCGCTCTCCCCTGGAAGCCCTCAGACCGACTAGTATTCTTCTATCTTCCACCTTCTATCATTCATGTGATGAATTCATTTTCCCACATTGCTCTGATAACACTCTTCCTGACCTAAATCCCACATTGACTCTTCAGTTTCTAAAAAAATCAAGTCCCGGTTTCTTCCCCTCACATTCAAAGCCCTCTGCACCCCCGCTTCCAGACAGCTCCCAAACTTCACCTCTGAAGGGGGGAACCCTCACAGCTTTCCACATCTGCCCTGAAACCCCCATCTTGTCGGCTCTTCCCTCCATTCTTACACAGCTCAATCCTACCTGGCGTCCAGGCTAAGCCCAAATGTTATCTCTTCTAACAAGCCATTGATAATCCCGAATGAAAGGCATCTCGCTCTCCACCCTCTGAAATCTGATAGCATTTATCTATTTCACTTGAGATGGTTCTCTTCTACCTGGTGCTGGCATTACCCATGCGTGCACGTAATCGCCCTCATCAGACTACAGAGTCTTTGAAGGTCAGGCCCACATGGATCTATATTCCTAATACTGTCTATCACAGTATCTGGGACATGAATACAACATGAGTCAATAAGGTTAATGAGCAATGATGTAATCGTTTTTTTGCTGTGTACTAATAGTGAGAATTTAGCAATTCATTCTAAAATATTCATTCAGTTTGTTAGAGGGAGTTGACTAATGAGCAAGAATACCAATGGCCTTCCTTTGTTCTATCCCCAAAACACAATGTTTGCATGTTATTTCTTCTTAAACTATTTCACGTAATAGGTTACTGTTTACCACACAAACTGAAAAACCTCTGTGCTGAAGCCTTAATAAATATACACATACAATGGCATCAGTGATGATGATGATGATAATGATGATGATGATGATGATAGAAACATGACAAAAATCACCCTATTGGCTGACTGTCAGGCAAACTGCCAAATTTGAGGGAAGCAGATAAGGGTGGCAGAAGCTAACTTGAAATTCACTTGGTGATACATCAGGTAAATTAGTAACAGTCAGGAGTTTATCTTCTTTTAAACATAGAGCACTAGGCTTTCTATAATGAAATCTAGTGAACTATAGCAATGCTACCATAAACTATAAGCCACAGTCTCATACCACATAACCATAGCTCCAGGATTGGAAGACCATTGTCACTGCAGAATGGGGCCACACTAGTTCCTTCTGAAGCAGGTAAGTAAATGACCATCTTGTAAAACTTCTCCGAGTCTACAGACAGGTACTTTGGACTTAGAGTGTAATCATCAGGGTAGGGGTCTGGAGGCAGTACTTGTGGTCAATCCGTGCTATTTACTGTCCCTCCCTAAGTATAACAGGCTGGGCTTCAGGACAAAAGAACACTTGCCAGGGCTGTTCTAATGCTCATCAGACACACTGCTTCCCCTCATCAGTCAGTCCTGATAAAACGACAGCCGCTTCGACCACTAAATCATCAGAGCTACTAGAACAAACCATATTAAACACTGTTATAATTGTAAACCCTTCCAAAACCATTTCAAGGTAAATTAAATCCACTATGAGTAAAGATGAAGCACAGGAAAGCTTTAGCGTTAAACAAAAATGATTACACTAGAATGGCCCTTTGGGGGTGGGGCTAGAAGCAGAACTTTTTATTTTCTGATCCAGAGACTTAGGGACCCTCTAAGGAAAAGGGGGTCTGAGGAAATGGAAAGAATAGGTCATAGGGTCTAATAACGGGCAGTGAGTGCATTTTGTCTGTCAGGATTTAATAGGTTAATATCAGTGAGTGAATCCTTTCTGTTTGAAGCACAAAACACATAGACAGAGAAACAAAGAAGCTTGGAAACTTTATATTCTCTGGGTCTTTGAACAATCAAAGGCCTTGTCTAGTCAACATTTGGAGTAATTTTTCCCAGGGGAATTGTTACTATTTGAGAGGGATGAAAGAGTAGCCTTCTCAGTGATACATTTTTGTTCTCTGAGAGGAAAAGCTATGTCTCAGTAAGAGGCAACATTTTGGATGTATTGAGAAGCGTGCAAAAGCGGTCAGTGACTTTTCTCAAAACATCTAACTGAGGGAAGTCTACAACCAGTCAGGAGATAGAGTACTTAAACAAAATTTAAGAGTTTGCCTGAAAAGTGTATGTCAAGGAGAGGAGACTGTTTCAGAAAACTAGGTTAAGATTAAACGTTTACAAGATTTGAGTTACTCTGCTTGGGATTATGTATAGCTTGCAAAATGAAAGCCCAAGTAATTAGCAGAAAATTTCAAACTCACGGACAAGAGGCATCAATGTTTCATTCCAGTATAGTGCTTTCCTACATGATCCTCGACTCGAACAGTTATTAAAAATAAAGTGTAGAATTCCTAGGATTTAAACTCTCCAGGCAACTGGAAAGAAAATGGGTTTTCAGAGCCAGCGTGGATGAAACCTACAAGCTATAAACCTGAGACTAGCTCTCATTAGATTTTAGGTATGTTTTTCTTCTCAAATTTGTTCTTGTGATCTCTGGGTCTGCAGAACCGGGGGTGGGGGATTCTGCGAACCTGGCACCACAGATTGCAAAGCTACTTGCTGACAGTTGAAATCATGAAGCCGTTACCATGCTCCAGCGCTTTCATGGGAAACCAGAAGAGGATGAGGGAGTGGACCAAGGCGTTGATGCAGTGACCCCAGAAAACCTACGGGAAAACAAACCGAGGGAGTCAGGACCGGCCCACAGCTCTCGACCTCTGTGTCATCAACAAGCGCCTCCTTCTGAAGGCCACTGGCAATGTGCTGCAGCTCCAGAAGTAGCATATTATTCTTGAAGTTAAACAAAACAAAACAAAACCATTTCCTCATTTTTTACACACAAATGACTGGATGATCTCCAGATACTATTATTTAGTACAAAGACCTGAATGTATATACACATGTACTTAGACCAATATACAATCCATCCACATCTAAAAAATGAATTATGACCTGTTTTCTTTAGAACCCTAAAAAAAAAAAAGACACCAAAATTTTATAACCAAAGACACCAAAATCACCAAGAGAAAGGTTATTTGGTCACAACTGTTAATAAAGGACTGCAACTGTGTTCTTTCTGAAAGCAGTAAAAACACTTAAAATGTAAACAACATCCTTCCCATTCAACTGTTTAATTTTTAGAATTTTGCTTAATATCATGCACATTTAAAAATTCTCTTTATCCTAACACTTGAAAGGTCAAACAAAAGAATGCAAAGTGTAGTTTCTTCTAAATGACAGCTTCATAACTGCACTGCAAGCATCTTTTTAACCACTGAGATGGTAGAACTACTAAAAGCCAGATTGAATTTATTTCAAAATCTACGGATTGATCTGGGACCTGTCATAAAGATTGGTCCTAGGTAGTGGTGGGGCAACGGAACATAATGAAAAATCGTAAGATGAAGAGACTTTCCCATTTTACGTGTTTACTTTCCCCTTGATCTCTGTACTCCCCTCCAGCTCCCCAGGTCTTCCAGGTGCCTGCAAATGTCTCGGGTCATTCTCGGCTCTACTACCTCGAATGGGTCCATTCCCTACTTTGTTGGCACCTTACGCAGACTTTGCATTCAAACTCTGGACAAAACAGTTGCTTTATGTGAATAATGCAGAACAAACAGGCCACCGGCAGCTATGCCCCACTCACAGAGCACAGTGCACAGGGCTGATACAGCTGGCCGTCCCCGTCTCCCGTGTCTGGGACACACCCGCACCGACCGAATCCCTTTTCTTCTTGTCCATCTCAGACATGCCCCGAAACAAGGCAGCTCTGAAGGAAGGTTATCAGGAACACCTGGCTTAAAATGACGTCCTCGGACATCGTTCTCTTCCTGAGGACTTGGTACAACCTCCTTCCTAAGACCCCAGTGGCCACCTGAGCAAATCACATTCCCAGCCAGCATCCAGGACTGCAGCTGACCTGGCGGCGGACCTCCGTCTGGACTTCCCCGGCCCTCCTGCCAGGAGCAGGCGATGCGGGGCGTCCGCCTCTCTGCCTTTCCGCCAAGCCCGCACCTCCCTGCTGCTCTGCCGGCTCGGCCGGGCCTGGCAGGCGGGTGAGCGCCCCCAGCCTCGACTGCAGGTTCTCGGTGACACCTCACCCAGCGCCTGCTTGACTCTTGACAAGGTCGCCGGCACCTTTTGGCCCAGATGCCTTTTCTTTTCTGATTCTCCAGACTGAAGAAAAATACCTATGACTGACTTAATTTCTCTGTTCACATCTGGCCAATTTTATTCGCTAGCTAAAGTCACATTTCTTTGTAACCGATAAAACAAGCAATGGTGGCAAGGGGGCTCTGTGAGGCGGGCTCCAGCCGCCTCCGCGCAGGACTTCATGGAAGGGGGAGGGGCGCGTCTGAGGGCTGACCCTAAAGGAACTGGGGCCACACCGACGCCGAGACCCACGTGGGGAAAAAGAAAGGAGTCGACAGAGAAGCACCGAAAGAAGCACCACGTGTAGCATGGCCCCTTCCTTTCTGACCTGGCATCTCAGGTTCACTGGGTTTGCTACCCTGGGAGAGGGCCTGTCTTACCTCCCTCCGCTGTTCTCTCTAAAGCGTCAGCTCGCTCGCAGGCAGAGAACTAGAGCGGGAGGACAACATGCAGTGCTTGCCCCCTTTCTGGTGGTGATGCTGCGAGGACGTTCTGTTTACCTTTGTGTTGAAGCCTTCCGCATTCTGGGTGATTTTGTACAGCTGTGGAAACCTGAGCATGCTCTCCTGGGTGCAAGACCTCTCGAAGATGCCCAGGGTGAAGGGCGGCAGCGCGGTGAAAATCTGCGTGGAGAACAATGAGCCATTAGCAGAGGCCTTTCCGACTCACGGGGTGCAAGTGCTTCGGTCCCAGGGAATGACGGCGTCACTCCCAGCCAAGCCCAAACCTGAGCATCCGTGAGTCACTGCTCCCCAGACACCCTCCAAACAAAGAAAATAAACGGAGGACCTTTCCCAACTGTTACTTAATCAGCATAAAATGAATACATGGAACACTCAAAACAACATCCCAAACATTTGAAGAGCCAAGAGATCTGGCTAAATGAGCAGCTACCTTCCTCTGTGAAACGAGCGGCGATTTGGAACCACGCGCCCCTCGGCGCTGTGAAGTGTTGCTGTCGTGTTTTCTGGGAGTGTGGGCCGAGGCACGATTTTACAACTTCCCATCCTGACTGTACGCTCAGATTTCAGGAAGCATGATGTACTTCATTTATTCATTTGGCAGACATTTATTGGGCATGAATTATGGGCCAGAAACTGTGATAAGCCCCAGAAATAGAGATATAAAAGCAGAAGGAAAAGAAGCAGGGCCCTGCCTTCAGGAACTCCGTCTACTGCAGAGGTGGAGACGGGGCAGCTGGCAACAGGCAAATAAATAAACATACAAAGCACAGTGCACTGCAAAGTACTCATGGGGAAGAGTGGGGAAGGGGCAGGGGGGTCAAGAAAGACTTCTTGGACCAAAGAGCATCTGAACTGTGAGGCATTGTACCTGCAGGGTTTGGCAGCATGATCAGGGGTGTGGGTGAGAGGGGAGCAGAGGAAGCATTCCCACAAAACCACACCTCTCACCAAGCTTTGGTGCTTGGCACATGGCACATTTGGGGGGACAGCTGAGACATCCAGGGTGGTGGCTGGCTGAGGACTCAGTACAAGACAAGGCTGGGAAGGTGACAGAACCCCCTCCTGTGACAATGAGTTTTTGGTCAGGTGGTTCTTTCTAAGATTTTACATTTACCTGCAGTGCTCGAGAAGGGGGTGACATGAGTGTGTTTGTGTTTCGGAAAGAGAAAGCCAGATGCTGAAGAAGAGGTTTGGAATAAACATGTCATTTCAGTCCGGGAGGTACGGTAGCCCTGTGGGTCATTCTCTGTAGTTCTGGGCACATGGGTCAGAGACCTGCTGAGTCACTCACCACTTAGCGACAGCCTCAAGCCAATCCAGACCCACACATCCAGCAAGCTGTCAAGCCCACAGGACCTGGATACGGGACCTGGATGCGTGTCCCCAAGAGAACTCTGAAGGCACACCAGTTACAGGGAGCCTGGGAAGTAAGCTTCCCGCAGTCAGAAAGCCATGGGCAGCGTGGTGGCGGAACACAACAGCACCGCAGGCTCCCTCCCTCCCCCGGGAGCAGAAAGCAAAGCAGCCCCGGGGTTCCAGCACTCAACAGATTTCAAGGACAGAAAAATGGAGAGTGTGCCCTCATCCCTCACAATAGCAGAGGTTTTCTGTTCAATGATTGGAAGTGCTGGGAACAAACGTCTCAGAAGCTCTGCACAGCTTAGCACACTAGCTCGCCCTGGCTGTGTGCATGTGCAGATACTGTTAGTACTACCATCTTACTTTTCCTTTTCCCCTTTCCCTTGACTCTCTCCTTCTACTCACTTCAAATCCTCCTGACCCTTCACCACTAGGCTACTGACCCGGGAGGCCCTCTGCTTGCAGCATACCTCACACACCTATATACTGTGGAGGGGTCAATATTTGCTTTACAGAAAGAAGACATGACACACATTTTTTCTCACTGAACAATACGTCATGGGAAGCCCCCCAGTCTCCTGGGTCTGACACTGAGAAGGGTATTCCTGCTCACATAATAAGTCACAGCATGCATGTACCATGACTTTTCAACCGTGCATTCATTTTTGTTTCCAGGGCTTTGTTCTCACAAGCATTATGTAATAAACATCTAGAACATATTATACCGTTTATATTTGGTCTTCGATTTGTATGGAATGGATCCCCAGAAGTAGGGTCGCTTGGTAAAAAGCTACGAGGACTTTTAATTTTACAAAATTTTGCTTGGTTGCTTTCTAAAGAGGTTCCAGTCACTTAGTTTTCCTCCCAAAGGACAATGGTCATCTTTCCTGATTTCCTATCAGCAATGGGCGTTAAGTTAAACTTAATACTCTCTGGTCTGAAGAAGTTAGACATTAACTCTTTCTTTAAAATAATTTACATTTTGCCCTGGCCATTGTGCCTCAGCGGGTAGAGTGTTGGCCTGCGCATTAAAGGGTTGGGGGTTCGATTCCCAATAGAGGGCATGTGCCTGGGTTGCAGGTTCGATCCCTGGCCCTGGTCAGGCATGTGCGGGAGGCAACCAGTCGATGTGTCTCTCTCTCATTGATGTTTCTCTCTCCACTCAACTCTCTCTGAAAATCGATGGAAAAAATATCCTCAGGTGAGGATTAACAAAAACATTTCCATTTCCCCAACTACCAGTGATTTTGAACATGTTTCCATATATTTCTTGAACAGTTGGATTTGGAATTTTGTGACATGTCTAGTCGAGCCCCTCGTACATTTTTCCATTCATGTTTTATCACCGTTTCTGAGTTCTTTCCATATAACAGATATCGACTCTGTCTTTATGTAATAAAGTTTCATCCAAATGCACTCTTTGCTTACTGGCTTTCTTTATGGTTTCTTTTGCCATATAAAAGTTTTTCATTTTTATATGGTCAAGAATAGCCTGAGTGTTCAATTGTGGTTATGGAAGTTTTCAGGACTTTCTTCAGGATTCTCACAGTTTTATTTTTCACATTTAAGTGTGAATATATCTGGAATGTATTTACTATGTGGTTTAAGATTGAAGTCCAATTTTATTTTATTTTTCCAAATAAAGAACCAGTTGTGAGAATACAACTGAATTCAAACTTTCCTACTAAACTGAAATACCACCATTGACATTTATTAAATTCTTACCTATTATAGACCTAGGATCTAGAACTGGGATGTTGTTCTAGATTCTCTGGCTTATTTGTCTAGTTCTATGTTAATATCACATAGATTTCCATATGGTGGCTTTTATATCTTTGCTTAACAAAGATAAGTCTACCCTTATGATTGCCCTTTTGGACAATTCCATTTATACTTTAATATCATTTTATGCAACTCTCTCTCTTTCTCCCTAAAATAATCACCTATTGGGATTCTATTTGGAATCACATAAAAATTTATATACTAATTTTAGAAGAGTCGATTCTTTTATAATACTAAGTCTTCCCATACAAGAACACAGTATGTGTTTCCATTTGTTCAAATCTCATTTCATATACTTCAATACATTTTTTTCATATAGATACTCTAAATATTATTCTATGCAATGTATAATTTTAATTGCTATTTTGAAAGAATTATTACTTCCTTTGCATTTCTTTTTTAAAATATGTTTTTATTGATTTCTTAAGGAGAGAGAGAGAGGGAAGGAGAGAGAGATAGAAACATCAATGTGGGAGAGCTACATCAACTGGTTGCCTGCACACCCACCACCTGGGATGGAGCCTGCTACCTGGTCATGTGTCCTGACCAGGAATCGAACCGGGACCTCTCAGTCCATGGGACTATGGTCAATCCACTGAGCCACACTGGCCAGGCTTTCCTTTGCATTTCTAAGTGCTCAGTGCTGGAGTAAAAAAAAATAGCTATTGATTGCTAGAGTAGAAAAAAAGCTATTGATTTTTATATATTTGTTATGAATCTGGTCACCCTATCAAATTCTCTGATAAATTCATTACTGGTTTCTTTGTGTTTTCTAGATATATAATCATATATGAACATATTTACATGGCTATTTTTTGTCTACTATTTGTATAAGTACAGAAATAGTTCATCTTTTTTTTCTAATATTTTCAATAGTTATTTAATTTTCTTGGCAGTTACTAAAAATTCCAAAACAATGTTGAATTATATAGTGATGGCAAGCATCCCTGACTAATTTCTTATTTAAAATGAAATAGTTTTAGAATTTTACCCCTTACGGCAACATGCTACTGGTGTTTTATAAACAATCTGCATTATATTGTTTGGCTTCTTTCTTTCCTGTGTTGCTTAGGGTTCTTATTTTGAGAACGGTAGCTGAATTGCCTCAGACACTTGGACAGCATCTGCTGGACAGGGTCACGTTTTTTTCATGTTGTTGATACAGTGATATTTAGAATTCATTTTATTTTGAACCTCCTATAAAATGTATTTCAATTTTACTTGGTCACATATTTTATTCTTTTGAAACATTCTTGAACTCTACTTGCTGATTTTATTTAGAATTTCCATATTTATGTTTTTAAATGAGGCTGGCTAACTATATTCTTTAAGTTATACTGGTTTGATAAAATTAAATAGTATAAATTTTCTGAAATAGTTTAAAAACAAAGTTATCTCTTCACTAAAAAATTGATAAAATTTAGCTGAAAGCCATCTGATCATTGTAATTTTTGTCAATGGTGGCCTCTTTACTCCCATTCTACCCATAAAATACAATGCTGTAGAAATAGGAGATGCTAGAATAATAATGAGAATCTAATGAGACAGCACTCATTCATTATTTGGAGAGATGTAAGTGTTTAAGTCTGTTTTATGCTATTTCATCTGCTATGAGAGTTAAACTGAGAAGCAGTGATGTGCTACTTTCACTGGCTTTGGGAATCAAAGAATAAGTACAGAAGGATAAAAAGCAGGAGAAATACTGCTTGAAGGAAATGGAAGGAAGAACCCAGTGCAGAAGAGGAGTCACTAGCAAATGCCGTGGATGTCACAAACCGTCTTGCACTCGGTTTTTGTGGAGTGATTCTGGAGTTGAAAAAAAAAATTGCCAAATAGTATATTATTGTTCCAATAATAGTAAAACTGAAATACAGACTAATGTGGATTAGATAATAATACTGTATCCATGTTAAATTTTCAGATTTTGGTCATTACACTGTGGTTATGTAAGAGAATGATCTTAGCAGCCATGCAGTAAACTGTAAAGCAGTAAGGGGCATAACGTCTTCACTTACATTCAACTGCTTCAGAAATAAATGTGTTCACAGGGGTGTGTGCATGTGTGCCTGTGGGCAAACCTCCGTGTTCTCAAAAGCTTTGGTCCTCCCAGCATGACTGAGTCTGGAGGTCAATGACCTTCCCTTCTGACCCCACTTCACAGATCCTGGACATCCCTCTCCCTCTCTGACACCACTCCCTGGCAACCTACTCCAACGATTGTTCTGTGGACACCATAGCACCTTAGGGCCATTTAGCCTTGAAATTCACTTCCCTGCTGCAACATTCTCTTCTCTATAGTCTGGGGAAACAAAGCAGATACAAAATAGTCCCAGTCCTAGTGATCAGAGGTCATTGGGAGGCTTTAATGTGCATAACCATCACTAGAAAATGCAGTATCTTTGAGAAAGTCTGTTAAGTTGGTTGGAGATCAGGAATCTGCATCTTTAAACAAATCCTGGTTATTCTTATGCACATGGCCTGTGGACCATATTTTGGCCAACAGCATCCCACAGCCTATTAGCATCTATGAAGAGTAGGCACACAACTAAAGTCTGTTGAATTAATTTGAATTGCCCAGGGCTGTATGGAACTAAAAAAAAAGAACCCAGATTTCATACCCGGAGCGTGAAAATAGGGCTAAAATCCATCTGTCATGCAATCAATCAAGTGACATGTATTCCAGTTCTGCTTTTAGCTCTAAATCACAGTCTCCTAGGTCTCAACCTCCTGTCTCTAAATACATATGTTGGCATGGGTTTGGCCCTTTCCAGCACTAAATCATTATGCATCAGTCAGCATATTTCTCCCTAAAGGATCGCATGATTTTAACCTGCTCATATCGTGTTAAGTCCTGCAAAGTTGACAATCGGTCCAAGGGGAGGTCCTCAAGTCCCCATCCACGTGGTAGGTGGCTGGGGAAGCTTTTCTGGTGCAGGTGATAAATGAACATCAATTCGGCCCTGCTCTCACCACCTGTCACCTTTGTCTTTTCAGGTTAAGTATTAGCAACAAATGTGTTGGTTTACTTTGAAGTGAGTAACACAGTTACTGACTACTGTGGTTTACACTCAGGATCCGAGCTCAGCCTCGGCGCCATCTGAGGCTACACATCTTACTCCCTTAACCTGTAAACTGCACGGGACAGGGGGAGCCTGCTGCGTGCAGTACTTTATACTCAGCACCTAGTCTAGTGGCTACTCAGAAGAAAGAGAAAAGAAGGGTTGAGTGTGTGGATGACTTGAATATCCAGCCACACATGTATAGTCAGGCTGTGAATATTCATAACAACACAATACATATTATTGTGTGTCTGGTAACTTCTGTCTACACCTGTCTATGATGACTACTCTGAGTATAAGCTCCCACAAAGCAGAGCACGTCAGAGTCAGGGTCCAACGTGAGTGTGAAAGGGCACCCCAGAGCATGCCACCCCGGGATGTCTGCAGTACTTGGCACATGCCCCTCAGCTCTCTGCCAGCACAACATAGAGCTAAGTGGTCACTTAGTCATTTTAACGCATAGTTTATATTTATTTCCAGTGTTTGCATTCATTACAGTCAAGTAATATAAAAAGAATTTAAAATTATTAAAAAGCACCAAAGAAACTTATTGCCATTCACCACAGGAGCTAGAAGTCAGAATTCATTATTTTCACACTAACTGTGAAAGAAAACATTCTTCCACAAGGACAGATCCTTTCAAAAAGGACAAAAAGCGCGTTAGGTCGCATACCGTCCGTCTGTGTGTCTGTGTTCAGGAATTAAGAAATGAAATTATGAAGTGGAATGAGTTGCGATGTGGTTGAGAAACTTTTCTCAAGCTAAACACATGAAAATGTTGCGCAGGCATTTAGTGAGGAGGTAACAAGGATCTATTATCAAGATATATGGGTTAATAATTTCATGGGGTTATTCAGGAATGATCTGCTATGATTGAAACCATGTGTGGAGAGTTTGGGCTTCTTCAGGATGTGTCGCAGCAACAAAGGCCCTAAAGATGTATTTGTGCTGCCTGCTCTGTATACAGATGACGGACTTAGATACACTCCCCAGACATAAACAGTGAAGGAATGTCACTGAAGTTGTGCGCGCTATCAGACAGAGATGGAGAATGCTTACCACATTGTACAAGCCGATGCACCAACGTTCAAATAAAATCTGCCCAGAAAATCCATTTACAAAGGCGAACCAGAGCTGAAAGAGAAGAAAGTTCATGAAGTTTTATATCAATATTGACCTAAATGTTTCCATTCACTGAAGAAGTAGCGGGAATGTGGACCACCAGCTGGACACAGCTGCTCAGGGATAAAAAGCCGCAGGATCGTAGCAGTTGTTCGTCAAATATAAATTCCCGATACAACAAATACCAGCATTTTCAGAAAGATTTATATTTGAGGCATACGATGATTTTAAGTGGTGATATGCATGTATGAATAGAAAAGCAATTTATGTTTAATGTATAACTAGTATGTTTTGTGTCAACACTTTTTCATTGACTGAAGAATCTCAACTTCACATTCTTTTCCCCCAGAGAGTTGATTTGATAAATATAATTTATCTCTGTAGGACTTTCAAACAGATAAAAATTAAATAAGAAACAACAAGAACTCCTCTGCTAGTCACACGTGCCCTCAGCTCAGAAAATGCTGACCGTCCGGGATCGGGTCCACCTCCACAGCCAAAGCGAAGACATCACGGACGAAAGAAGCCTGCTTAAATCATCTTCGGGAGCAACATCGCTTGTACAAATAAATAAAATGTGGATGATTATTCATGTCTTCAAGTTGTCTGTAATTCTAATTGATTAGGCAAGAATGGCATCAAAATGACCACAGACATTGTGCCAGGGACACGCATGGTGAGGGAACAGAATGATTTCAGAGAAGGGATGATGGCCGGGGTGTCCTTTGGAGAAGGGATGATGGCCGGGGTGTCCTTTGGAGAAGGGATGATGGCCGGGTGTCCTTTGGAGAAGGGATGATGGTCGGGGTGTCCTTTGGAGAAGGGATGATGGTCGGGGTGTCCTTTGGAGAAGGGATGATGGTCGGGGTGTAATTCAGAGAAGGGATGATGGTCGGGGTGTCCTTTGGAGAAGGGATGATGGTCGGGGTGTCCTTTGGAGAAGGGATGATGGTCGGGGTGTAATTCAGAGAAGGGATGATGGCCGGGGTGTCCTTTGGAGAAGAGATGATGGTCGGGGTGTAATTCAGAGAAGAGATGATGGCCGGGGTGTCCTTTGGAGAAGGGATGATGGTCGGGGTGTAATTCAGAGAAGAGATGATGGCCAGGGTGTAATTCGGAGAAGGGATGATGGCCGGGGTGTAATTCAGAGAAGAGATGATGGCCGGGGTGTTCTTTGGAGAAGGGATGATGGTCGGGGTGTAATTCAGAGAAGAGATGATGGCCAGGGTGTAATTCGGAGAAGGGATGATGGCCGGGGTGTAATTCGGAGAAGGGATGATGGCCGGGGTGTCCTTTGGAGAAGGGATGATGGTCGGGGTGTAATTCAGAGAAGAGATGATGGCCAGGGTGTAATTCGGAGAAGGGATGATGGCCGGGGTGTAATTCAGAGAAGAGATGATGGCCAGGGTGTAATTCGGAGAAGGGATGATGGCCCGGGTGCAATCAGAGAAGACGTGGAGGTGTGGAGAGTGGGGAAGAATGGCAGGCCAGCAGGTTGAGGAGCAGAACCTGGCCTAGAAGGGAGTGAACACAGCAGCACGAAATACAAAATGCTGCGATTGAAAATGTAGGACACCGATATGCTACAACAGGATTCCGGGGATTGGGGGTAGACTTTCAGGCATCACATGCTAATCGCAGCATCACAGATCTCGGGGGTGTAAAGCTAACAGACGGAATCTGTTCCTCATTGGAACGCTGGCAACACAGAGCTGCTGCCCCACAATTATCTGGGTCGAGATCAACTTTGCTACTGAAATTTTACCAAATCAGATTTTTCAAAATCAGTTTCTTAATTCCACTAGATGACGTTTCTTGAGACAGGAGTGGCTCCCCGTCCTGTGCAGCTGTACATAGCGCGATACTTGGTACAGACAGGGACTGCTCAGGGGGATCCGGTGAATACCTCGATTCAATTGCAGATGACGTTTTCTTAGGCTCGGCTTTCATCATCTCCTTTCCTCCTCAAAACCCTAGGAGGGATCCCTCCTAAATCTAAGGGAAATGAGCTGCCCTTACAACTCCGCCTACACTCCTATTTACTTTTAGTTTCAACTATCTCCCAAGAGGTCCCCACGAGGCCTGGCTATTCTCAGGGAAGAAATACTAGTGGAAAACTAAGAATCAGAAGTCGGTGCTGTGTTCTGCACTCAAAATATTTTTACAACACCTATTCTAATATTAGCCCTTCCTGAAACGACAGCTCCAATCCCACCCTCCCCCCGCCCCCCCCCCAGGCCTCGGCAAACAACCCTTCAATCCAACCTTTGGTGCAGCGAGAGCCTGGATCCACACCTGATTCAAACCTATTTGTAAATCGTTTCAAGGGTTTTAAGCTAATTTGCCAAGATTGTGCTGTACATCGATAGCCTCTTATTTAAACAACTGGGCAAATGTTCATACGTTTTTAGTAAACATTATGTGACTGCTTAAGCCAGTTACTTTATTGTCTTTTGTTGAGAGTGGAGCAATGATATTTCTACTGCCCTCTCTTCCCTATTATCAATTGAAGATAGCAAAAATAATTGAAAATAGAAAAGAAATAACTAATTTTTTTTTAAAAATGTATCTGTATTGTCTCCCCCTTTCCTCATTCATGCCCTCCACCCTGCTCCCCCAGCCCAGCCCTTCTAATGACACTACAAGAGCCTTAACTAAAACTACAAATGACACAGAATAGAAACGAGTATGACAAGATTGGATCAAGTCAAGGGAGGATGCCCATAACAGATGAAACCTTCAAAGTAAACACGTTTCCAAGGAACACATGAAGCAACCCGAGAGAGAGCTGAGCCCGCTCTTAGCGGGTGAACTGTAGGGGTAGGGGCAAGTCATGCCCGTGGTTTCCGGGCTGACTGAACACAGCAGGCAAACCCAAGCAGCAGGTGGGGGCAATGGCAGGGTACAGCGGGGAGCATGAGTGGTAATCGGCCTGGTAGACACTGATTGAGGCAAACTGAAAAGAGAGAAATGCAAACTCATGTAACAAAACACCCATAACATATACAGAAATTCACTGTCTGACTCACCCAAGGAGAAATGGTGATGAGGGAGATGCTTACTATTGCAAGGTGACGGGTGACTAGTGTGGAAGAGACACAGAAAGAATAAAAGATGAGAGAGTGTCCTGAGACAAATCTGAAGCCCTCTTCCCTAGACATTGTCAAAAAAATAATAAAGAAAAAAATACAGGGATGTGACAGAAAATGTATGACACAATCTCTGCAGAAAGATCACTGGGCAGAAGAAAATTTTGAATGCTCTTGGTAATCCTTAGAGAACTAACAAAAAGCGTGGCTTTTAATTAAAACGAGATAAAATTAGATATGTCAGACATCAAAGAAGGAAACAAATAAGATTCAAAGTACATGAAGGAAAAAAAACCAGAACGGACATTGCTGAATCCACACCCAGGGACGCACAGTCAGGGCAGAACAGGCGTGTGAAAACAAATGCTAACCAAAGGGCAGAAACTGACACTGCTTTTAAGAGAAACTGATAACCTTTCAAAGATGATTTAAGGAAATTCCAAAAAGGTGTATCTTTAAAAAAAAGTTGAAAGATATAATAGAAGAAAACATTTCTGAAATATTCTAAAACCTTAATCAGCCGATGAAGAAGGCATCCTTTTCCCCAGGAAACAAAATAACAAATACACAAAGATCAACACCTATACATACACTGATAAAAAAAATTCATGAGTTTTAAAATTCCATAAGATCAAGTCTTTTTTCTAAATCCTCACCCGAGAATATGTTTTTATTGATTTTTAGAGAGAGAAGGGGGGGGGGGGGACTGATGTGAGAAAGAAACATTAATCAGTTGCCTCTTGTATGGGACCCAACTGGGGATAGAACCCAAACCCTAAGTATGTGTCCTGATTGGGAATTGAACGTGCAACCTTTTGGTATATGGGGACGATGCTCCAACCAACTGAGCAACCCGGCCAGGACAAAATCTTTAATATATTCAGGCAAAAGAGCAATGAACCTGCAAAATCAAGTTGGCTTCATCTGTCTCTCTAACAGTACACAATACCAGAAGCCAATAGTGAGTGTTTACAACTCCTTAGAGAAATAAAGCATGATAAGAATTTTAGCAAAATACAGAAACCAAGGAAAGAGTAAAAGCTGAAAACATTATATAAAATGTGATGAATGAAGTATACCAAATATGTCCGTTATATTAATAATACAGAAAATTTTAAATGCTCAATGGATAAAAAATAAAATCCAAAATGTATGCTAGGTACCAGAGGAACATGTCAAACAAACAGGGAAAAGAAACACTAAATAAGATAAATCCATAACTCTGACTTAACTACAGGTGATGGTGTCATTAGCTACCATTCTCACAACACTGCTTCTCCTTCACTAAACTACAGTGGCCCCTGCCAGCGCCAAGCATGGATCCGCCTTTATATGCTGTACCCAGATATGTGGCAATTACATCAACAGCATTTGGTTAATAAGCCATCTTTACCTCACTTGTTTGAAATGCCCTTTATTATATAATAGGTTATCATGGTATTACAGACATGTATATAATGCTGTGGTCTCACTTCATATACTCAAATTAACCACAGATGGCTTGAATACTTAAACATAAAAAACAAAACTCAAAGCATTAGGAGGACACATTAAAAAAAAGGTTTTATATGTGAAACTGACTCTCTGTTGACATGAAACTCAGAAATCGAACCAAAGAGGAATTAACTTGAAACAGTTCATTGCTATATAGATAATAAAAATAAAGTTGAAAGGAAATTAATAAATAGTACAAACATCTGTAACTTCTATGAAGACAAAGGCCTAATTTCCTATATAAAGAGTTCATACAAATGAGAAAGAAAACTGCTGACAAGCTATTAGGAAAACAGGCAGAGAACATATGCAGAGAAAGAAAACCTTATAAATATAAAAGTCTCACTTTTCCTGAAGCACACATAACATGTGCACGCGCACGCGTGCACACACACACACACACAGCATTTCTTACCTGATAGATGGACA